GGGAGGGTGGGCGGGGCCAGCGCCTGAGCTGATCCACTTCTGCTTTGGGGAGGGGGGGGACTAGCTAGGAGAGCAGGCCGCAAGCACAGAGGGAAGGAGGGGCGGGCGCAAGGGGGCAGCCTAGACTTTCTGTTTGCACAGCTCATGCACAGCTGGGGGCTGAGGGCTGAAGCCCCCAGAGGGAACATAAAAACTGCCCTCCCCCTAACCCAGTGGTGAAATCTCCTCCCGGGACTCCCTTGACCAAATCCTGCCTCCCCGCCTCTTGATCAATGCCTGCACCTCACCCTGACCCTATAGTGCACACTTCTACCCTAAAGGAAGCCTAGTCACTCCTCAGGGCTGACACCAACACTCTGGTCTCAGGCCGCGGTGAGAGAATGCAATGCAATTTCCTAAAGTCTCACCACGTCTCTGGTGCTGGCTCCTGCAGGTGGCACCAAACAGGAGGGAATCTGGGGAATTTACACAGAAGTTTCCCAGATCCCAGAGGCTGTGCTTAGAGGTACTGGCTGGTCTGCCCTTCAGCTGCAGGTGTCCCGGGGAGGGGTCTTTCCCAGGATCTTCACAAGCCAGGAACATTCTTACAGTGAAGTTACAGAGAATTCAAAACTGGGGCAGATTGGGTTTGAAACCAGAAACTTCCTGCCTCCAATTACCCCGGAGTCATTAAACCCTCAGTGAGGAAAGGGGAAGGGGAAGGACAGCCTGCTCTCCCAGCCCCCCTGTCTCGCCACTGAAGGAGAGGCAGCTGGAATTAAGGAAGTCAGCCATCTCTGTGGGTAAATATCAGGTGCTTTTCACAGCGAATGGAAGTTTACAGCAAAGAAAAAGGAAGTCCTTCCGTTTTCCTCCTGACAATCATCACTCCTGTCATTTGTAACATTGCTTTCCAAAATCATATTTTGGGGATCCTTCAAGGATGCAATTTTGGATAAGACCTTTCCCACACACATTATACCTTGAAGGTTTCTGTTAGATGTACATTGACCGATGTTTAGTGACGTTTTAACTCTCGGTTAAATACATTGCTCAATGATATCTTAACAACTTCCTGTCAACATGAGAAACATTCAAAACTATAAAGAATTTTTGGGAGTTTATTTGAGCCAAACTGTCTGCAAGTGTCAGGAGCAGAATTTCAACAAATTGAGATAATGTTCCAGAGAACAGCAGTTGTGCATTTTATTTTATACATGTCGTGTAAGACTCCCTCCACGTTCTGCGGAGTAGGGTTCAGTATCTGAAAGAGGGGCCGCACACAAATGAGAGAGAAATGACACGAGATAAATTTTGCGATATTGGGGGACCAGGCGGGCAAGTCCCGAAGGACTTCCACCTAAGCTCAGGCCGCTCCAATCTTTTATTTGATCTGGGGTAGCCCTAGGGTAAGGTGGTTTGAATGACACATGGATTAGCTCATTGGTAGACAATTTCCTGAAATAGGCAAAATATTTGATCAACAATAATCAACAAGGATCTACACAAGTATCTAAAGAATTCAGTGAACTAAGGTGGGGATGATGCTTTAGCTACCATTATCTAGATTAACTGGGTCGTGTCTAAATTAACTGGGTGGTGCACAGCCCTGACCTTTGCTAGGACTTTCAAAGGTTACTAGCTTTTGGGGGGGTCTCTGTCTATACTCAGCTAATGAAGACAGCAAATGATTTCCAGCAATACATTACTAGATACCCAGTGCATGAAATTCCTGCACTGGGGGGGGGGGGGGGGAAGAGGCCCCCCCTTTTGCCTTGGCCCCATCACTTTTATTATTATAATGAAAGGAGAAGATACAAGTGGATTATATGAAATCCATAGGTGATAGATATGTCTTTTACATAAGTGTACACAGCTTAACTAAGTGAACAATTAACATAATAACAATCAGAGGGTATACAGCTTCCCCCAGGTGCACTCGGTGTGGCATGAAGGGTCTGGAAAAAGGGGGGTTACCCTGATATTCCAAAGGAATGTTTTCTGGGGGGCAAAAGACAATAGACAGGCTTAGGGAAGAATTCCCTCTTGGGTAAGGATTCTAGCTAGGGCCTGACTACCTGCTATAAACTGCTTTTTAAAAAAGGATAAACCGGCTTCGCTCCGTTTCCTGGTTACTTTAGGGCTCCTGACTTTGAAAAGGTGGGCAATACAGGGGCTTCCAATGAGCTTTGTAAAGGTAAGGATGGGTCCCCTTTTTCTTGGCCCACATTTCCCTTTTGGGGATAAAATAAAACCCCAAAGGAGGTCCTGAGGAGCCAACTTTTTTATTGGGATAAATGGAGGGGGCCTGGTACTGGGTAGCCTCAGTCTTTAAGTTTTTTCTTCATAAAATAAAGGGACCATTGGGGGTTGGAGAAAGGCCTGTAACCTTGGATGGGCAATCAAAGGCCCAGTTTTTTGTTTTTTTTTTCTAAAGTGAAAATACTGTAAAATGGGCGGGCAGTCAAGTTTTATGGGCCCTCTATTTAAGTATAATAAGCAATTTTTTAAAAAAAATAGATTTTTTTTGCCGAAACCGGTTTGGCTCAGTGGATAGAGCGTCGGCCTGCGGGCTCAAGGGTCCCAGGTTCGATTCCGGTCAAGGGCATGTACCTGGGTTGCGGGCACATCCCCAGTGGGGGATGTGCAGGAGGCAGCTGATCGATGTTTCTCTCTCATCGATGTTTCTGACTCTCTATCTCTCTCCCTTCCTCTCTGTAAAAAATCAATAAAATATATTAAAAAAATAAAAATTAAAAAAAAATAAAAAAATAGATTTTTATTGATTTCAGAGAGGAAAGGAGAGGGAGAGAGAGCAACATGATGACTGAGAATCCTGGGTCAGCTGTCTCCTTCATGCCCCTCCCTGGGGATGAAGCCCGAACTCCTGGCATGTACACCAACCTGGAATGGAACCCTGACCTCTCAGTTCCTAGGTCTATGCTCAATAACTGAGCTACACTGGTATGTCACTATAGATTAAATTTATGTTATTATGATTTGGATTTTGTTTTATGTGTTATATATTGTGCTTAGTATTCTATTTTCTTATAGTTTAAGGCCATATAATACACCTTCAGTAATATTAATAGCTGTGATACATATATGTAGGCTTGAAAGAAGCCTATTATTAATTACTACCAATATTAACAGTAACATTGATTTGACAGGCCGCACCAGTGTCTTCGGATGGCTGTCTAATTATGATCTTTGGGCTGTTCATTTTTGAAAAGACTGATTTCTATTGTAGATGAGGGAAGTTTCAGAGACAGACACAGATATCCATTCGTGGGTAGGCACCTGATAACATAAGGTACCTTCCAACACTGTGGGAGAGAAATTTTAATTAGTGTATTTTTCAAAAGATAAATATATTGATAGTAAGTTGTGACCTTTGAAGTCTTTGTGTTCTGGGCATACATTGTCAAATGAATGTTATTAATTTAGTAGTGCCTATAATTTCATAAATGGGCCATTGATCATAATGTAGAATGTCTCCTTTTACTTTTCCTTCCAAAACACATTTCTGGGGAATGAAAAACTGTTTACCTACTGACCTCACTAAAAGGCAGCGCTTCCACATGGGTCAGGTAACTCTGAGCACGGTTATTCTCATGCTTATTATATGTACACAGTCTAGGATTAGAGCTTTCACTACAGCAACATTCTCTGCATAGTTTCTTTGTGGCCCAAAGCTAGACATGAAATAGCTTTTTTCCCAACCCTTTACTTTCTTTCTTTTTCTTTTTTTTACAAGATATTTTATTGATTTTTTACAGAGAGGAAGTGAGATAGTTAGAAACATCGATGAGACAGAAACATCGTTCAGCTGCCTCACGCACAGTTCCTACTGGAGATCTGCCCGCAA